TGCAAGGAGGTAGGGCATTTTAGGAATCAATGTCCGAATGATAAGAAAGTAAACATTGCTCAAGGCTCTGCGAGTGACGAGGAGGTCGCTCTGACTTGCTGTGAGGAAAGCAATGTGGATTCCTGGGTCATGGATTCTGGTGCTTCATTTCATGCTACCCACAGCGGTGAAGCATTGCAGAATCTAGTTTTTGGAGACTTTGGAAAGGTACGACTAGCAGACGACAGAGCTCTTGAGGTGACGGGCATGGGTGACATGGTGTTGAAGACCCCGGTCGGTTTCTGGACTTTGAAGGATGTCAAAGTTGTTCCAGCCTTGAAGAAAAGTTTGATTTCTGTTAGGTAGTTGGATGAACAGGGACACGAGGTGAAGTTCAGAGATGGGCAGTGGAAGGTCGTGAAGGGAAATCTTGTCATGGCCTGTGGAAGGAAGAGAGGTTCGTTGTATATGGTCGAGTTACTATCTGAGGGAGTGACCGTCCCAGTTCAGAAGAAAAACGAAGTCCGGTTCACAGAGTCTCGTGGGCAGAATAAGGTTGTCTGTGCAAGAGAGAAACCTAGAGCCACTGGTCAGACTCAGGATGAACGAGCGTGGAAAGGTTCAAGGAGGCCAGTTAGAGGTATTTGTGGCAGTGGGATCTCAAGAGGCGCTTCAGCCAAGTTGCCTAGAAGACAGTGGGTCAGGAGAACCAGTATTCCAGCTGTTGGAACATCTCCAGAAAATTTCCTGCTGAGTATGGAGAGTGTTTGTTCTCAAGATGTTCCAGGATCCGGCAGTGTGCGTCTGCAGTGGGAGCCGGTAGGGACCGAGGACGAGTCAGGGGCAGATGTTGCCGTGACTGATGTGTTGGAGCTTGGGAGAGCTTCAACGGGCCTTTCAGTTGTCTAATGATAGGGCCGCTGCAACAAGAGAGCTGAGAAAGATTACTCGATGTACAGGGAATCGTGGTGGATGGCAGTTGATGACTATCAAGCCTCCAAGTGGGAGAATGTTGGATTTGTGGAGGCTTGGGCTTGACTTTTGGCCCGGCCCATGTTACGAAACCCTAGATGCACTCTTCCTATATATATTGCATACTTGTAGTTGTAATCGGTACCACAAGTGAAATAAGAAATTCCTCCTGTTGCAGCCGTGGATTAGGGAAACCGAACCACGTTAAATTCTTGTGTGTCGTTTGTGTTCCGTTTCTCTCTTGATTCTCGCAGATATTTGTGTGTGTTGTGTGTTTAATTCCCTACAATACTTTCCATTGCTATCATGCACCTCTCAATGGGATTTGGTTTGATCCTCTTCTTTATTTTACTTTTGTTTTTTTAATAAAAATAGAAAAGAAGTTGGACTAAAAATTAAACGCAGGACTTAGACATTGTGTGTTGGCAACAACAACAACAACATCCCATTTGAATCCCACTCGAGTAGGGTCTGGGGAGGGTGTGTGTACGCAGACCTTGCCCCTACTCGGAAGCAGGGAGGCTATTTCCAAGAGACCCGCGGCTCAACCTGCACAAAATTATGGAAGGGAACACAGTATAGTATGGGTAAAGCACCAAGTACAAGCAACAAGTACAAGCAATAGCAAAAGATTCCAAACACAACGCACTACAAACAACCTTTACAGTACCGAGCTCCTATCCAGCTACTCTAATCCTAGTTCTCCAAAGGTTCCTATCTAAGGCCATATCCTCAGTCAGGGTGAGAAGTCCTAAATCGTGCCTAATCACCTCCTTCCAATTCTTTCTAGGTCTACCCCTTCCCCAACTTCCCCCGATAATCGAAATCCTCTCGCATCTCAGTACAGGGGCGTCAGCATCCCGCCGTCTCACATGACCAAACCATCTCAACCTCGCTTCCCGCAACTTATTTTCCACCGGCGCCATGCCTACCTGATGTCGGATAACTTCGTTCGAAATCCTATCCAACCTTGTCTTCCCACACATCCATCTTAACATCCGCATCTCCGCCGCATGCAGACGACGCACATGAGTTTTCTTAACTGCCCAACACTCTGCACCATATAACATAGTTGGGCTGACTACGGATCGATAGAACTTACCTTTCATCCTGGGCGAGATGTTCGGATCACACAACACCCCTGAAGCTAACCGCCATTTGGACCAAGCCACTCCAACACGATGTCCAACATCCCCATCTAACTCCCCATCAGCCTGGACCACCGAGCCAAGATATCAAAACATGTCTACCTTAGGTACTAGGTGAGAGTCAATCCTAACTTCCACTTCTGATTCTGTTTCCTGACCGCTGAAACGACATTCCATGTATTCAGTCTTGTTCCTACTTATTCTGAATCCTTTAGTCTCAAGGGCAAGGTGCCATAGTTCCAACTTATCGTTAAGTCCCTCACGTGTGTCGTCGATAAGCACAATATCATCCGCGAAAAGCATGCACCATGGGACTCCTTCTTGAACACCTTGGGTTAGGACGTCCATCACCAAGGCGAACAAAAAGGGGCTAAGGGCAGACCCCTGGTGCAACCCCATCCCTACCGAGAAAGACTCAAAGTCGCCCCCGGAAGTCCTCACCCTGGTTATAGCCCCATCGTACATATCCTTGATAGCGCGAGTGTACACGATGGGAACTCCTCTCGTCTCAAGGCACCTCCATAAGACCTCCCTTGGCACCCTATCGTACGCCTTCTCAAGGTCAATAAACACCATATGAAGGTCCTTCTTCTTAGCCCTATACTCTTCCATTAACCTCCTCACGAGATGAATGGCCTCTGTAGTCGATCTGCCAGGCATGAAACCAAACTGGTTCTCAGAGATGCAAATCCCTTTCCGCACCCTATACTCAATGACTCGCTCCCAAACCTTCATGTTGTGGCTAAGCAGTTTGATGCCTCTGTAATTCTCGCAGCTCTGAATGTCACCTTTGCCTTTAAACAGAGGGACCAAGAGACTCTCCCTCCACTCATCAGGCATCCTTGCTGTCCGGAGGATAACATTGAAGAGTTTGGTTAACCAAACCCTCGCACCACAACCCGCATGCTTCCAAAACGCCACCGGAATCTCATCTGGTCCCAAAGCTCTCCCACTATGCATCCCGCGGAGGGCCCGAACCACCTCTTCCTGACAAATGCGCCGGCAATACACACGAGACGCCCCAGACGGCCCCAACTCATCAAGAACTAGCCTCTGGTCTCCTCCCGCATTTAAGAGTTCACTAAAGTACTCCCCCCAGCGCTTAGCCACCTTGGCAGTCTCAACTAACACTCTACCATCATTGCCCTTCACGCATTTCACGTGATCCAGATCTCGGGCCTTCCTCTCAAGCACCTTAACAAGCCGGAACAGTGGATGAACACTGCCTTTCTCCTCAATATCCTTGTAAAGGCGTTCAAAAGCGGCATTCTTTGCCCTCGTAACCTCTAACTTAGCTTCTTTACGTGCCTTCTTGTACTCCACCCGTAACGCCGCTCTTTCCTCCTCAACATTGCAACCCATGTACCTCAAATACGCCACCTTCTTAGCTTCCACCTTACTTCGGACTGAAACGCTCCACCACCAATCACCCTGACGCCTACTCTCAGAGCCAGAGCTCACCCCTAACACTTCCCTAGCTGTTTCCCTGATGCAGTTAGCAGTCCGCGCCCACATATCAGTGGCCTCTCCGGTCGATTCCCACGCACCTTTCTTCTGCACTCGCGTGATCAACTTAGAGATATTCTCCCCACATATCTATTGTGGACATTGTGTGTTGGCATTTTATAGTATTTTTTTGGTAATATATATTGATATACTTGGCATTATAAGTCATGTTGTAGCATAAAAATATTGAAAATCCTTTTTTGGCATCATGTATGGTAGTGATGGACACCCAATATTTTCCTAGGTATTGTGGATCGGCCCGGGTTCAAATACAGGTGTCCGGGCCTTATAATATTGAAAGAATAATACGAGAATCGTAAGTGATGGGTGTATTCCACCCACGACCGGTCAAAGGAGAAGGCCAAATCGTTGACCGGTCAATCTCAAGAGTTTTGGAAGGGAGACTTAAATCGCCCGCAAAACGATATATCATCGGCCAAAATATGACCGGTATACTTCACAAAAAAGTATACCGGTCAAACTACGTTGTCATCCTATTTATTCCAGACTTCGATGAATTCATCCCTCGGAGATTACCCGGTGTAGTTTCTGGGGTTGGAAAGTGTCGGCAGAAGAGAATCTACGAGGGCTTGGCATGTAGCGACCCATGTCAGTAGAGGACAACTGGAGATGCTGAAGAATCCATCCAAGGCACTACACGACAAAGGGAATGATCCCCCTCACAAGGCGACAAGGCAGCTCGAGGACGAAACCAGTCACCTCGCACCACATCAGCAGCATGCCCCCACGTGGGCGCACGTGGTCCTGTCCCCTTAGCCTAGTATAAATACTGATGTAAACCTCAGAAAGAGGGATCCGAATTCATTCTCTCTAAACTCCCTTGTAAAAGCACCCGTGCATTCTCCGTTATAATATAAATCGGGCTACAGGTGTTCCACCTGAAGTCCTACCGGTCAATTTGCGTGTTTTTACCTTTCTTACTTTGCCAAATCAAGCAGACTATTCTAGACCCGGTCTATTATAATTTGACCGGTCAAGTAATTTGCACCATCAGTAAGTAATAGTAATGGAAACACTGCTCACGGACAAGAACTAAGACCGGTGGTCCTCTCCTTTATTCGGTCCTCTCAGGGACGGAATATGCTTAAGGACCGCCGGAATCTTTTATTATTACTCAAGTATTTTCTCTCTTTATTACCACCTCCCTTAATCCCTCAATTCTTCTCCCTTTTATAGGCGCTCCCCAACTGCTATCTTCTACAGTAATTTCAGTGATTGGGGAGGACATCCGCGCCAGCCTTGCTCTTTCCAGGGGGAGTGTATCTCCACTTGAGGTCGTCCACTGGAGGACAAACCCTTCCGTCCATCTCTTGCTTCATGTCCTTCGTCCATCTCTTTCTCCTCGTCTTTGTCCCTTCAAGTGAAAAGGGGGAACTCCCCAAACTTCTCATAGGATTCCTCTCTTTGTGGGTGGCTTACCCTTAATGGGCTGGCTCCAGCCCATCCTTAAGCCCCACCTCTCTTCCTTTTCCTATCTCTCTCTACGGACAACCTTCCTGTGACCGGCCCGGTACATTTTACCTGGACCGGATGCTCCTTTTGATGGACGGGATCCGAATTGGGCCTAGGCCCAATTCACCAGTACTCTCTCGATGGGCTTGGTTCCCATCAGGTAGAGTATGTTTTAGCCATATTTTGGTAGTGTTTTTTTTCAATTTTTAGCATTTGGTGTAATTTTAGATATATAAATTTTATACTCCATATCAATGTCAAAGTTTGATTCATTTTTCGCACAGAGGGATAATAATAAATCTATGAAAGAGTAATAGTGTAATAGCTTTCTAAGTTCCGTAGCTTATTTTTTCTCTCCTTATAAAACTGGGCCATGCTAATAAAACAAAACTCTATTTTGGCTTGATACCTCCGTTCGGCTGGAGCAGGATCTGGAGGATAGATCTCAACGTGTGTCCTTCAACACAGCCACGCAGCACTTCCTCTTCCTCTTTACTTACTGCCGTGTGCTGACCGTACGTTGTTCTATCTCTCTCTCTCTCTCTTTCTCTCTGGTTGTTGCCGCCGGAAACAATGGAGAATAAGCAGAACCCAGAGATTGAAACCCCAACTAACATTACAATCAAAGGCATTATTGGGTTGCTATTAGAGACGGTGAAAAGTGATGATGGAAAAAAGGCAATATCATTGGGGATGGGTGACCCCACAGTTTACTCTTGCTTCACCTCCCCACCTCTTGCCCATCAAGCTGTTGCAGAGACCCTCTGTTCCTACAAGTTCAACGGCTACTCTCCCACCGTCGGCCTTCCTCAAACCCGAAAGTACGTACAGTGAACAACTCCCATCTTTCTCCCCTTGTTTGCCATAACACACACATATATATATGTATTCATCATTTCTGGATCTTAATTAGTAATAGTACCCGGCGGCACTTGTAACTAAAAACAGGGCGATAGCAGATTACTTGTCCCGAGACCTGCCGGAAAGGGTGTCGGCCGATGACGTTTATGTGACGGCCGGCTGCACTCAGGCCATTGACACGGCTCTGTCTGTTCTGGCTTTCCCGGGAGCTAACATCTTGCTCCCGCGCCCGGGGTTCCCAATTTATGCGCTCTCTGCTGCTTTTAGGCACGTTGAAGTTAGATATTTCGATCTTCTGCCGGAAAAGGGATGGGCGGTCGATCTGAACGCCGTCGAATCGCTAGCTGATAAGAACACAGTTGCAATGGCGGTCATAAACCCCGGGAATCCGTGCGGGAATGTCTACAGTTATCAACATCTACAAGAGGCCGGTTCCCGGCCTTCAACCTTATTAAGTAATTAATTATATATCTACTCTGTTTTTTATATAATGTGTTCTATTTGATTGATTTCATGGTTGTAAACAGATTGCGGAGACTGCAAAGAAGCTGAAGGTGATTGTGATCGCGGACGAGGTGTACGGTCACCTAGCATTTGGGGCTAATAATCCTTTTGTGCCAATGGGAGTATTTGGATCAATAGCCCCTGTGATTACTCTTGGATCCTTGTCAAAGAGATGGTTGGTGCCTGGATGGCGCCTTGGTTGGCTCGTCATAAATGATCCTAATGCTACCATTAACACCCCCAAGGTCCCTCCCTCCCTCTCTCTCTCTTCTAATAAAATTATTGAGAGGCGCAATTTCACCCTTTGGAGAATTTTGGAGAATTCAAGAGCTTGTGCAATCCAACAATGTGCACAGTAGATACTGCTAGGTGCAAGCAAGGCCGGACGGAGGGGGTCCAGTGGGGTCAACTAACACTACTAAATTTTTTAAAAAACAATATTAGGTAAAATTAGATGTGATGGGTAGATTAGTAGTGAAAAAGTGTAGTGTGATATATAGATGAGTTAAAAATTAGTAAGGCTAAATCTGATACTCCCTCCGTCCCAAAAAGATTTACACGTTTCAAAAAAATTGTGTCCCACAATTCCTTCCCCATTTCTATTAAAAAACCACTTTTATCCCTTACTTTTTCAAACCCTACCTATCACATCATACCTTTTTCCTAATAATCTACACATCACATCTTACTTTTATCCATCACATCAAGGGTATTTTTGGAAAGTCAACACAAAATTATCCTTCCCTTAATTTCAACTTTAGTCAAAATGGGTAACACTTTATGGGACGGAGGAAGTATTTTAATAGAAATGAGAATTTTTTTTGGGATGAATGAAAAAAAGGAGAAAGATTTTGTGAGACAAATGGAGTAAATTTTTTTATATACTACTTCAATATCTCCGTCTCAAAATGTTTGCCACATTTCTTTTTTCAACAACCACGCAAGCTTTTGTTTATTTGTATGTTTTCTTTAAATTTTTGATAAAATAAAATATTTTTAACACTTCTTATTTCGAATAATTTTTCGTGTAATTTTTAAGTATGTAAATTTTTACTATTTATTTCTATACCAATATTAAAATAAAATAAATTAAAAAAACCTGATATTTTCTCTCATTTTTTTAAATGTAGTAAACATTAAGGGATGAAAGGAGTAGTAATTAATAATAGAGTGTTGCTAAATGCATCCTACTTTTGGCTATATCCACCCTATTTGTTACCCCCTCCGTCCCAGAGTATTTGTCCACTTTCATTTTTACACACCATCCAATGCACTCTTTAATCCATTTTATCTTGTAATTTGTATATTAAAAAATTATAGAAATTATATATTAATAGTCTATATGTTAAGACAAATCAAACAAGATCACACATGACTATATTTAAGCTTACACATTGAGAGAATTTGATGAGTCAAAGTGCTTAGATGAACAGTTCCAAAAGTCAAAAGTGAACAAAAACTAGGGGACGGAGGGAGTACATATGTACACATACCCTCCTAAAGTGTAAAAAGAGAGAAATGACATGTAAAGTTAGCAAAAGGATAAACTTAAATAAGCACTTATTTTTTTAATAAAAAAAATTAAATTTTTTTATGTAAGAATATCCGCAAAAATGATAAGCACTCAAGGTGCACAATATAAACACTCTAGTAATAATACAGAGTATCATTTAATTTTGTTAACTACCAGAATGTGTAATAGCTTAAGTATTTGCTTGCACGAGAAAAATACACAAAAAATAAGTACTACTCCCTCCGTCCCCTTTTAGATTACAATATTCTCTTTTAGACAAAATTAAGAAAGAGTCAAATCAGTATTTTTTTCCCCGAATTACCCCCCAAATAGTATAGGAATGGGTGGGTGGGTGAGATTTGACATTGAAATGATAAAGGGGAGGGAGGGTAAAAGAGTCCATTTAATGTAAAAGTAAACACTTTGTAATTTTTTTTGGGACAAAAATAAGAGGGAATATTGTAATTTAATTGAGGACGAAGGGAGTATACAAATTCTTTTATTCGCTTTTGCACTTTTAGTACAAATTCTCTCCACGGGTTCACACTTCACAGTTCACACACAATGTGTAGCTCTAGACTTTTGTGTTTGACGAATACCTAAAAAATGAGAAAGGAAATCTGTATTTCCTTATTTTTGTAGTACTATATCTACCGAGCAAATTATATCACAGTTAAAATGGTAAATTTTTATCCTAAATTAAATAAAAATGATACTGCTATTTAATTAGTGTACAATATATATTTTATTTAATTATAAATCAAAGGTTAAAAACGGTTAATAGAAAAAAGTTAAAACTAGACAAAATAGTTGGAGACGGAGGTAGTACATCTATAAAATTAGATTATTTTATTTTATTTTTTGGGTGGACCTGATGATATTGCATTCTCTCTGTGTATTATAATTAGCAGTTTGTTGGGCGCATTAAGAAGTATTGTGACATTTGTGGTGGTCCAGCAACCTTTATACAGGTCTGCCGCAATTACCGCCTTGTATAGTTGTATGTATATATTAAGAAATATCCTACAAATAAAAGTTTTATGTTTTTATGCTCAAGTAGAAATTTATAATGTGACACTGTTTATTAACAATTTATACTTCCTCCCGTCCCACAAAAAAGTTCTCATTTTGAATAGTATTTAGTCAAACATTTCCACGCTTTGACTACAAATTGTGAGAAAGGTATATTGAATTATAAAATAAATTTAATATAATTGGATTCATCTTAGGATCTAGTTTTGATATCTCAATTTTTTTTAGCATTTCTTTATTTAGATTATTTTTAATTTATGATTAAAGCATGTAACTGTTTGACTAATTTATGGTCAAAATGAGAACTTTTTTGTGGGACGGAGAGAGTAATACTTTTTGATAATATAGATGCTCAAGATTGACGACATTGTAAATGTATTTTAAATCCTATTTCAAAAATAAAAATATAAAACTTTTATTTTAATAGAGTATATTTTTAATGTTTTACTTAGTCCTTTTCCTTACTTTCTTAAAAAGGAAGAGTACATGTTTCTAAGATTTTGATGCCACCTCACAAGTAAAAAAATGTTGTCTTTTTTCTTCATACTTCCATATTTAGGCAGCGGTTCCCCGAATTATTCAGCAAACTGAAGAAGTTTTCTTTAAGAAGACCAATAACTTGTTAAAGTGGACATCGGACATGTGCTTTCAAAAGATGAAGGAGATTCCAAGTCTTAGATGCACATATAAACCAGAAGGGTCAATGGCTATGATGGTGAGCAAATCCCTCCCTAAAATCGGTTATCCTATGGGTATTTGATTTATGATTTGTTTGATTGCCGCGTATTCTTCTCGTTCTGGGCTCGTGATCTATATGCATGGAGGAAGAACGGTGAGAATAAAATTAGAGAAATACTCACGCACGCTTCAGCCCATGATTATTGGCAGGGGCTAAAGTGGGAGTTTAGGAGTGTTGGGGAATAAGAACCATCACTTTCATTAACGGGCTACACTAATGGCATGTTTGGGTGATGAGAAAATTAAATTGAAGAAAAAAAAGTAAGAGGAAAGAAAATGAAAAGAAAATTAAAACAAAATAGTTACTGTTTGGATGGATAGAAGTTAAGAGGAAAAGTGGGAGGAAAGAAAATGTGATAAGTTAAAATACATTTGTATCCTTGTTTAAATGGTCAAAAATGAAAAGGAATTGAGGGCAAATGTGTCATTTGATAAGTTTTCTCTTCTATTGTAGTTTTCTCGCCACTTTAGAGGATAAAATATTTTGGGGTGAAATCTATCTACTTTTCTTTCCTTCTTCCATTTTTTCTTTCAAACAAACAAGATAAAACTTCTTCAATGTTGCATTTTCCCTTCCTCTGTTTTCTTTCTCCCCAATTTCTCCTCATCCAAACACTACATAAGTGCTCGGAACAATTTCAGGTCCTTTTTTCTATGGTGAAAAGAACCGTGATGATGATGATGATGATCACAATCATAATAACAAATTCTTTATGATAAAATAAAAAAATATTGAGGGCATCACATTGTGTTTAGTGGAATAAGTAAATATTTTTGAATGTAGGCAAAGCTTAATCTGTCCTTGCTAAGAGACATAAGTGATGATATTGACTTCTGCTTCAAATTGGCCAAAGAGGAATCTGTCATCATTCTTCCAGGTAATGTTTTTTAAATTGGAGAACTTTTCGTGTTATGCTTCTTATTTGGGCAAATTCATTTTCAGGTTCAATAAGCTTAGCTCCACTTTTCTTTGTAGTGTTTATATGTCCATGTTTTGAAAGACGCTTGATTTTCTATTCGGGCAAAAATACTACACCTAGATTCTCGATTCATTTTACCCTTTCTCTATAGTCTAATGTATACTCCACCTAGATTCACTATTCTAAACAAAGAAATGAAATTATTTGATACCAATATTAAATCGAACTTCTTAAAAAATTTAACTTCATTTAATTTATAATCAAAGTTTGTCCAATTTGATTAAAACAAGTAAAACTAGACAATGACAATGTGACGATAGTAGTCTATTACGAAGTACTTCTCACTTTTCTAATCAAATCTCAAGAATAGAGTTTTCACTCTTAAAAATCATATAACGCTAGGTGATAATAAAAGGCAGGTGGAATATTAATTTAAAGTTTGTTTTAGAGCAAATCAACTTATACTATGTTTGGTTCAAGAGATATTAAAGGAAAAAGAAAAGCGGAAAGAAAAAAAGTGAAAAGGAAAAATGATTTAAGAGGAAGGAGAACAAAACTACTATTTTGGTCAGAAAAAATGAGATATAATCATTTTTCTTTTCTTTTCCATCCAATTTTTTTGAACCAAACATAGGGTTAATGATACATTAAAAATGTTAGAATTCAGGCTCATTGGGATTAAAAACATCAACTTTGAGAAGCCAAGCCAAGATAATGAGTAATTTTGCAGGAGTGGCTGTGGGTCTCAAGAACTGGGTTCGACTTACTTTTGCTGCAGAACCATCTTCCCTTGAAGAAGCACTGAAAAGGATAAAGTCTTTCTGTCAGAGGCATTCATATGAAGAAAGTGCGCACTCTTAATTGAACATACTATAATTTTGTTATACTACTAATAATAATCCATAATACATATGAATATGTAAACCATAGGTAGTTCTTCGCCATGTTGTGTACTCAATACACTTGGAACTTGAAGTAATTGTTTTCGAAATTGAAAATACACTACAGTGTAGTACTACTGGGGATTATTTATGAATGTGAGTTCTTGCTATGTCTAACTCAGTATATATTGCCTTCACTCTCTCAGTACAATGTATAAAATATACTTCTTACAATATAAATTTACCATTCTAAAATGTATTCCTAGTCAATGATTTGCCCAATTTTTAGGGCTCTCTGGAAAATGAAAAACAAAATAGGGACTCATAATTATTTCTCTACTACAAATATCTGCAGAGTACATCACTATTTTGTCCCTCATTTCTCTTTTACGAACACTAGAAAAGGCAAAAAGTGTTGGGACTTTGGGAAGGACAAAGCCACTTGTACCCCAACTTTTGTACCCTACTTTATACCCTGCAGGTTTGCACCGACACTTTGTGTTGGTGTAAAACTAATTTCTGTAAATGCATCAACATTTTGTATCCCTGTAAATTTTTGTTAATGCATAAACACTTGTGTCGGTGTAAACCATCAAAATGTTTGTGTATAACTGCGGTGTACAAATGAGATATAATATGTGGTGTAAATGTAGCACAATTGGGAGATACCCATACCGAAGAATTTGAAGGATTTAGACCAAAATACAAGTATACCTCCAACTTCGTTAAAATAATTTTGATCTATAATGTCAAGTTGGGAAAAATATAATTTCAATTAAAATATTTTTCAATTAAAATTACGGAGTAATATTTTTCAGTTAAAAAAATAAGAGGTAAAATATTGTCAAAGGTTACTTGAAATTAATATTTTCCAATCAAAATTAATATTTTAAACTCTAATTTCAATTGAAATTAATATTCTTGAAACTTCAATGAAAATATGGAACCTGGTGTCTCCAACACCTTTCTTGAAAAATCTAAACCTTGCACCGCCGAGTTAGCCATCTTAGCCTAGTCCTTCATGGTGTCTCCAACTCCTTTCTTTTTAATTCATCTAAGGGCTAGTCTAGTCAGTTGTGTCATGCCTTCCATATCTCCCCTCCCCCACTTCCCATAGTGTGCTAAAAGATCCTAAACACATGCGCCAATAACACAGATTACGTGTTAACCATTAAATAAGAATTAATTTTATCAAATTCTTTATAAAATTCTTCACTTTCTAACACAAAATAATCATTATTAATATTAAAGATTAATAAAACCTTCAAATTTTTATAACATATTTTTGATAAAATAATATGGTCATGTCACCAATTGTTTTGTAGAGTATTTGATGTAGTTTTTTAATATGTAAAGTTAACTTTTTAATCTTGCTTCAATTCTCTAATAAATTGCATTGGAATTAACTTCAGCCAAAAATTGTAAACCAAAACAGACAATTTAAATTGGGACATAGGGAGTAATATAATTATAAAAACAACATTGTATATAATTTTTAAAAGTATCCATCATTAATTTTATTTTAGTATTTAATTTCTCAAAAACATTATTATACAAATTTTAAATATATACATCTTTATATAAAAAATTTATATAACACATACAGAGTATTATATAATTATTAGAAAATTAAAATAAAGAAAATTACATTAAGAGCATGTCAGCAATTCAGAATATATACGAGCCCGTGCGAAACACGGAGTTAACACTAGTTACTACTTAAATGATTTGGCACGATTTGGTTTTCCAACCATAATTAACTAATTGGTACCATGTCTCTTTACAGTACCATGTCATAACAATGCCAAATCATATCGTAGTACTTTAAGAGTTAACAAAAAGTTTTATTACCAAAAACTAAAAATGAAAGTAAAAATGTTTGATGCACCAGTTTATTTTCATATTGTGTAGTATTAATTTTTGACAAATCATAATTTTAAAATACTACCTCTCCTCTGGGATTTAATCTTTCAGTATTGACTTTACCTCATTGTAAGGAAAGTTGGCTATGTGACGAATTTATTCAAAATACCCTAATTAAAGAAAGGTGAGATAAGTGGGTTATTAGAGAATTTTAATAAAGGGGAATGTAGTTTTATCCAAATACACATGTATATGAAAAATAAGATGATTAAATCCGCATGAAAAGAAGGATAAAGATGAAGATTAAAATGGAGGGAGTAAATTAAAAAATCATGATGAAGTAAATAAACGTCGCACCAAAAACACAAGAATTAAAATATTAAGAAATAAAAAATTAAAAGTATTATTAATTTATTAGTTTAAAATTTTAATAATGACATTCTGATTCGAGATTTTTGGTTCTCATTTATTAAGAATTCATCTAGTACCATTGTACTACCTCCGTCCCATTTTATAACGCCTGTTTCGGTTTACGATGTTTGACTGAAATTATTTTCAAACCATTTTATATGACAAATGGTATAGAATTAAAAAATAAAAATTACATATTAAAAAACTACATCAAAAGATCTACAAAACTAGTAGTGACAATAATATTTTATTTTATCAAATTGCTAACGAAAATAGAGAAAGAAAGTGAGTGAAGTTTGACCCTGTGAATAGTAAACAAGCATTATAATTTGGGACGGAGGGAGTAGAATGAAACAATTCGATTCAAGATGTAATTTATTTGGCATTAAATCTAGTCGAAAACCTATTTTTGCATGGGAGAATGACTAAGGTAGGACTAAAACATTGAAAATATACCAAAATAAGAATTTCATGTTTTTATTCTCAAAATAGGACTTACATTGCCAAACATGGTGATGTACATTATCAAAAAGGTATAGTAATGTGCACATATACAGTGCCACATTACAACAGTGCAAAATTTTATTTTAAGAAAAAAAACATGAAAATCCTAATTTGATACTTTCATCTACATTTTAGTTATATTTAGAATGATTTCTATTTTTTAATAGGGTGATCTGTGTCGATTTATTTTGAAATAGTCGCTTTTTGTGTACTCCTAGGACTAAATTGAATTGAATTTGTATATGAGCCTCAATCCTACCTATTTGGCGGTAAGATTAAGAGGAAAGAATCTACAAAATACGGAGTATTTCCGCTCAACCCGCTCTATTCTGAGGACTGCGCGCCCTCCGTCGCGTGCACCGAACGATTCAAGACCAATATCAGAGAAAACCACGTAGAAAAAGACACACTACCTCTCTCCGTGCAGCTCACGCTATCATTATGCGCGTGGAATTGCAAACCCGAGCCCCCGTCCATTCGCTGTATGAAACCCTTTCTCTTTACCTCCGCCTTGCTTGTTTGATATTTCTTCTTTACACAACAACTACTGAGATAAACACACGGACAAGGACTGAATCAGAGCATTCAAGAGAGAGATAATAGGATCGGAAAGGTATTTCCCGAGCGAAACCTGAACTCGTCTTGGCGGAATCTTAGAAAAAGGGAAACGAAGGCCAAGGCTCAGCCTGGATTTGATGGCTTACAGGTTCATTTCTTATCCTTCCAAGACGATTTGATCGATAGGTCGATCGATGGAAATCCCCGACGCTCATTTTCTCTCCAATTTGTTTTAGTTTCATGAACAAGTTTGGAGTAAAAGTTAGGGTTTGAAGCCCCCATTTTGTTATTTCAATAGATTGTTAAGATTGCTACTGGAAAACAGAGTAGGACATAAATTGGTCGGTGGTGTTTGTCATGCCATTTTCGGGGTCCTCTTCTGTCCCGAGGAAAACAAAGGATAACAAGTTGGGTGATTTTAGGGTTAAGAAGAAACTTAAGAGGATAGAATCTATTTGTGAGAAGGCATATAATCGGAACCATAGTGTGGCTGGAAGGGTGGACCCTATTGATCCTAGTAATGCTGAAGAAAATGAACTTGAGCTCAGGCGGAGCACTAGGGTCCGAAAGGCTCCTGTTCTACTTGATTCGTCTCCTCCTCCTCCAAAGAAGCGAGCAAAACTGGGCAAACGGGGTGGGATGAGTGGTGAGAATAGAGAAGAGGATGGAAAGCAATTCGAGATAGTCTGCTCTATATCTAGGGATTTGGTTCACAATGCTGATGGTTGGAAATCAAGACTAAGATCCAGGCGCAGGAATGAAAGCTTTGTTTTGAGACGGAAAGGGGTGACTTCACCAGGATTTAGTAGGAAGCTTAGTGAGAACTCGGGAAAGTTCAAAGGCAAATCAATTGAGGATGATGAACTGTTTCATGACAAACAAGTAGGGAAGGTATGTGGAAAATTGACTATATTTAAGTCAAAGAGACCTGGAAGAATTAAGGCATCAAGTGCTTTTGAGAAACAGGGCATTGATTTGAGCGGTAGTTTGGAGGGTGATGAATTGAATAATGCAGAAGAGAGACAAATGAGTGAAGATGACGATACACTGATACTTAAAAATGATGCGCTTGAAGAAGAGGAAAAAATAATTAACAGCGAAGAGGCACTTGAAGAAGTGAATGAAGAGAATTTCCCATTTGACAGTGAAAGGAATAAGGCAGTAAAGGGTGCAAGTGTACCTTCACCAACTGTCAATATTGAGGATGAAGTAGAAATGTGTTCACATGCTAAGCAATGCACAGGGTCAGATCATATAAAGCTCATGGATCAGGGTATGCCCGTAGAATGGTGTGTCGGCATCGAGTCAGGAGACAAAGGAAATGATCTAGAAATTGGCTTGGCTACTCATGATGAGAAAGAAAATGGTAATGCTAGTGACGTGATAAATAAACATTCGAGAGTAGGATATGATGAAAAGACAAAAGATGCAGTAGATGGTGTTATCTTCTACAAAAGAAAGGACAAGAGGTCCTGTGATAGACCTCCAGGAAACCATAGGATGATTGATGCTTCAAGAAAGCTGAAGATTAAAGTTGGAAGACGTTGTGGCTTGTGTGGAGGAGCTACCGATGGAAAACCTCCCAGAAAACTAGTGCAATATGTGGCTCAAAGTGATAATGAAGCACATAGTGAGACTTCTGCTTCTGAGGAACCTAATTATGATGAATGGGATGGATTCGGTGATGAACCTACCTGGCTTGGACGCCTACTGGGCCCCGTAAATGACCGTTTTGGTATTGCTGGAGTTTGGATTCATCAGCAATGTGCTGTATGGAGTCCAGAGGTATGGTTCGCTGAGCCATGTTGCTTGTATTTTGTATTTTATATATCTGCGGTCATGCTCTTTGTGATGAACACTTCTAGAGTTGTTTTCTATCAGTGTATTAGATTAGTTTTAATGCAAACTGCCGTGTTTTAGATCTTTTGGTTAGCCTATCACTCTTTAAGGTTCTTTACTTGCAACCTCTTGAGAGTGATGATCTTTTTTCCTTACAATTTATATGAGCACTAACTATTATTTTGAAAGGTCAAAGTTTGACCCAACAAGTTTGCCATAACCTGAATGTCGAAGGATCTCTCTGCAGTGGTTCATCTTTTATTTGGGTATTTCTATGCTGATTATTGTTAATTTTTTTTAAAATTTAATTCATCCATGCATGTCTTTATATTATTCAAAATTTTAAATAATTCTAGGCTGTAAGCCAATATAATGTGTTTAAGGATCATCAGGGCTCAACATTTAATCTTACCAAGTCTTGCGTTATGATGGAAATGTTGGTACAAAATTAGAAGTAAGCTACTCTCTACCCGCCTTATTACCTGTCTTGTACACAGTCATTTTTCAGGTTGTTTTCTTTTAAATTGTTTTGCATATGCATTCATCATTACCATTTTTCTCTTTTAGGCACAAGTACATGTTCATCAGTTGTTCATGATCATTTTGTTTATTTTCAGGTCTATTTCGCTGGTTTGGGATGCATGAAAAATGTTAGGGCAGCACTTAGCAGGGGAAGGGTTTTGAAATGCAGTCGTTGTGCCAGGACAGGTGCAACAATTGGATGCCGTGTTGATAGATGTCCAAAAACCTACCACTTGGTGAGACCTGTTTTATGCATTATCTCACATTCTCACCTCCTCCCCAACCCCCACTCAGTCATTGTTTGTTCTACATTTTTACTTACATGCGTTGTTTCTCACAAGCTTGGCTGTTTTTGTTTGGCAGTCATGTGCACGCGCCACAGGTTGCATATTTGATCATCGCAAGTTTCTCATAGCTTGTACGGATCACAAACATCTTTTCCAACCACATGGTAGTAAATATCTGCACTATCTAAGGAAAATGAAAACTAAGAAGATGATGCTGGAGCTGAGAAAGACATCGAATGAAGCATGCCGCAAAGATATTGAAGCAGAAGAAAAATGGATGGAGAATTATGGGGAGGATGAAGAATTTTTGAAACGTGAAAGAAAGAGGCTTCATCGGGATTTATCAAAAATTACTCCGGTATATATTGGCGGCGCTAACTCTGATAGTGGGGTTGAATTTCAAGGTTGGGAATCTGTAGCTGGACTTCAAGATGTCATCCAGTGCATGAAGGAGGTGGTCACCATACCACTATTGTACCCTGAGTTTTTCAGCAGTCTTGGGCTCACACCTCCTAGGGGTGTTCTTTTACATGGATACCCTGGGACAGGTAAAACATTAGTAGTACGTGCACTAATTGGTTCATGTGCTAGAGGTGATAAACGCATAGCATATTTTGCTCGTAAAGGAGCAGATTGTTTGGGAAAATATGTTGGTGATGCCGAGAGACAATTAAGACTTCTGTTTCAGGTTGCGGAAAAATCTCAACCTTCTATCATTTTCTTTGATGAGATTGATGGCTTGGCTCCTTGCCGCACCAAGCAGCAGGATCAAACTCATAGTTCAGTGGTGTCTACTTTGCTTGCCCTGATGGATGGACTGAAATCTAGAGGGTCTGTAGTTGTTATTGGAGCTACTAACCGTCCTGATGCTATTGATCCAGCTTTGAGGCGGCCTGGACGATTTGACAGGGAGATTTATTTTCCATTGCCATCAGTGAAGGATAGAGAAGCAATTCTCTCTCTGCACACAAAAAAATGGCCTAAACCTGTTTCTGGGCCTTTACTGAAGTTGATTGCCAGGAAAACAGTGGGATTTGCTGGTGCTGATCTTCAGGCCCTGTGTACTCAAGCTGCCATTATTTCTTTGAAGAGGAGCTTCCCCTTGCACCAATATCTCTCTGCAGCTGCAGAGAGAGGGCCTCATGTTAAACATGCCACCCTACCCAGCTTTACTGTAGAGGAACAGGATTGGTTGGATTCTCTTGTGCATGCATCACCTCCATGTTCACAAAGAGAAGCTAGGATGGCTGCAAATGAAGTAGTCTCATCACCTCTTCATACCTGTCTTTTTCCTTGTCTTTCCCAACCGCTTTGTAAATTGATTGTTTCCCTTTATCTAGACGAGCGCGTCTGCTTACCGCACCGCCTTTTTAAAGCTGCTTCACTGGTAAAAGACATATTCATCTCTGCCTTGGATAAAAAGAAAATTCTTACTAGTAATTGGTGGTTTTATATTAATGATTTGCTTAAAGAGCCTGATATTTACCACAAAGTTGAAGATGAACTCTCACGTGCCGGAATTCTGATTCGAGATTTTAGAAGTAGTACTTCTTGTCTTCTAGAGGAGATCTTTGATGATGATGACTCTGCATTTGGGTATTCCAAATTGCACCATATTGGTGGTCGTGCTCACTTGATGGAAACTATCTTGGGAAAGAAATCTGGATTTCGAATATTAGTTTCTGGGAATCCTAGATGTGGTCAAAGGCACATTGCTTCGTGTCTTGTCCATTGTTTTGTTGGTAATACTGATATTCAAAAGATTGATATGGCTGCTATGTCACAGGAAGGCCATGGGGATATTTTGCAAGGGTTGACAGGAATATTGAGTATGTCTCCTACTGCATCACATTGTTCTTACTTCTTGTGTACCCTTGACATTCATGAAATTTGCAGAAATTATATTTTTATAATCTCTTTAACAGTTTCATAATTTGCAGAAGTTACATTTTAAAAAGAAATATTTTGTCTATCCTTAGAAAATTGTTAATCTTTAAAAGCATCATGATACATATCATTAGCGGTGATATAAACTTGATTTTCTTTACTTTGATGCTAGAAGTCATTATTCATTGCCTTCTGCTCTAATGCATTTATATTTAAAAGCTATCATGATAGTGATCACTACAGTTGTTATTTACTTGAATTAACTTTGTTGTAACCCAGAATGCGTTTATCACTACGAGATCTACTTAATTTGCATTCTGAAATTGAGTTATGTAAATAAGGATGGTTCATTGTTCTTTTTCCTTCATTAACGGAATGAATTATACTGTGGCAGTGAGGTATGCATGCGCTGGAAGATGCATAATTTTTATGCCAAGATTAGATTTATGGGCTGTGGAGGCCAGTTCAATGGTTTTTGAAACCCGGGGTGTTGCCCTGTCAGGGAAGCATCAGTTGTATGAAGAGAGATCCCTTGAAGAAATTAAAAATGAGAAGTCTTATCCTGTTGCCACTACTATGGGACTGGAGTCCAAGAAAGAGGTGAGAGAGGCATCAGATATCTGGAACTCCTTCGTTGAACAGGCCGAGACCTTGTGTGTATCTAAGCCCTTGAGTATTTTGGTATGTTTGTATCACTTTTCAGTTTCTCCAAAACACATATTTGACTAGAAAAAATATATATTCCTCATACTCCATCCGTCCATAAATTATCTTCTCGCTTTGACTTTGCACGCAAAGTAAGGAAAAGTAAAAAATGTTTCAACTTTTCATATTTGTCCTTGGTCATTGCAAAAAATTAAATGAAGTGTAGGGATCGACACTCGATAGTAATTAATGGGTAAAGGTGAGGGTAGTAATGTGGTTTAAAGAAAAAATATTTGCCAAAAAAGGAAACCTGAAGATAATTTATGGACAAACAAATAAGGAAAGTAGGAAGATAAATTATGGACAGAGGGAGTATTTATTGTTTAATCAGTAGATAATGGGTCCATGTAGCTTCAGATGATATAAAAAAATCCCCTAGGATCTGGATTTAACTTGTCAATAGATACTCACACCACCCCTGTCTTTCCTCTGTACAGGCTACAACAGATATGCCTTTTAAAGCCCTCCCTCTTACAATAAGACAGTACTTCAAAGGGCAGGAATTGGATCAGAGTCTCTCAACTCCATTGGGGGGTTCTGTACCACAATTTTCAATAGAGCTGGATGATAGTTTCAATGTTGATCTAATAGTTAATCTATTTGCATCAAGACTGTCAATTGATTTAGTTGAACACTTTGTTCAGTTGCTTTATCGTGCAAACCATATGCGTACCATCCCACAAAATGGTAATGCTAATGCTGACAACAAGGAGAATGTTATGTTGGCGTGTGTCAACTCCAAACCGGAAACAACTACTGAGCACGAGAGCAAAAATGTTTCTATAAATCACATTACAACTGCTGTTTCCCCTAACACTAAAACTGGAAAAGGGATGTCAAGCATGTTGTTAGCAATTACCACGTTTGGCTACCAAATTTTACAATACCCTCATTTTGCTGAACTTTGTTGGGCGACATCCAAGTTAAAGGATGGCCCGTGTGCTGACATAAATGGTGCTTGGAAAGGTTGGCCCTTCAATTCATGTATTATTCGTCCTAGTAACTCTGTGAATGAGGTTGCTCTCTCTACCAGCACTGTCAAAAGCAAAGCAAGTTCTGGTATTGTAAGAGGCTTGATAGCTATTGGGTTGTCTGCTTACACAGGCAAATATACTTCGCTTCGAGTAGTATCTTCTGATGTTCGGAAAGTTCTGGAGCTTTTAGTTGCCAGAATTAATGAAAAAGTTCAGGACGGGAAGGACAGATATCATTTCAGCCGTCTGTTGTCTCAAGTTGCTTATCTTGATGACATGGTCAGCAGCTGGCTGTACATGCTGCAGAGGTATGGCTCCATGACTCCAGTTAATAAATTATTCTCCTCACTTTTTGATTTCTCATTCAAGTCTAACTATAATGAATTTTGTTTCAGTTTTGAGATGGATACCGAGTGTTCAGGGCCAAAGGCAAACTCAACATTGAATTGCGTAGGAAATTCAGAAGAACCTAACCCTTTAAGAAATACTACTTTGGAAGGTGATGATAATACCTTCCATGACGCAAGGACAGTAGTAGGAGGTAATTATATGTCAAGGATGGAGGTCGGCTTTCAACCAATGGACACAGACCATTCTATACCAGTTAAAAATGTTGCAAGTGCCCTTAATTTGAATATGAAAATAGTCAAACACAATCTTGTGAATGTCGAAGCTAATTATAGAGATCAAGATGAAGAAGGTGCTTCCCAGTTGAAGAATTGTTCCCCTTCTGAAATAAGCAATCCAACTGATGCAGTTTCCCAGAAAGGTGGAGATTGTGGGCCCGCAATACATTCTAATGGACATGTTGATATTGAAAATGATCAAGAGGATGATGATGGGTGTGATACTGAAAATGATCTTCGTCGTGAAGATGAAGAGAGAGAGACATGTGATCATGCTAATGTAAAAGCTACCAACATTCCAACAGTTTCTGGTCTTGTGTGCCACCTAGGTTGCTGCAATGAGTGTCTCGGGAAACTTCAGCGCCTTCTAAGAGATGCAGTTAAATGTGAGTTGGGACTTGAGGAGAAAGAGTGTAAGGTAGACGATGTTAATGATTTTGTGGCCTCGGTATCTGCCAAGTTTCATTCCTCTCTCAGATTGTGGTTGCGACCTGAAAACTCAGGGTGTGCGGTGATGAAGATCACAGAATGCAGTTGCCATGGTACAGATAGTGCTGTAAATGCACACTTGGATCTGTGCCAGAATTCACAGTACATATTTAGAGATGGTCTACTGACCAACTTTGGGACGTGTAAGGATGCTTCCTTTCACTGCCAATTTAAGAAATTATGCCTCCATTCCCTTATAGAGTGGGTAAAAGTGGGGAAGGAGCCATAAATTGATTGGCATCGCTTCTGCCAATTTTGTTTTTCCTTTGGCATGACATTGGTAGTGTTTTAGTTTTATCCCGGGTACATGGTATCTATGTTTTTGTATACCGGTAATCGAATAGAATTTATTTCAAAGCAGGTTTTAATGGCATCCCTTCGTTTGCATTAATAGTTCTATGCACTAGATTTAAAAAGCTTCACCTGCATAACTTCTTAGGCCATGTTTGGCAGACAATAATTTACTTTGCGTTATGTGGTGATTTTAACATTTTGATTAACATTAGTATTTTGGCTAGTCAAAATACCGTGAGATGTTTTATAAATTAACATATTAAACTAGAAATAAATTGCTAGTTTGAAAATCTTGATAGGATCTAATGTCTGATAATCATCATTTTGGTATTAGGATATTAATTTTATTTCTAATTACTCAACGAAGTTATTGAACATGTTACACAAAGTGCTAGACTCTGTGTTTTTTAGATTTTAATTTGTAAGGGGTAACTTCCAACAATTTTCAATTTCAAGTTTCTTCAATTCCAATTTTTTTCCTACTACTTTTAGACATTTTTTTTGTTTTTTTCTTTAAATCCTTCCAATTCTTTAACTCTTACTTTCTTTTAATTTCTTTTGAGTGGTGATTCAAAATTTATTTACGCACATATTTCAACTTATTCTTATTTGTACCATCATCATCATCGTTATTACTACATCTGTTTTAGTGTATTAGTTTAATTTGATTTTTTTAGTCCAAAAATTTATATTATATACTAATACCATGAAATCAATTTTTGAAAGTTGTCAATGAGATAAATCTAATAAATAATTTTAAAACCTATATATATTACAATTTTTGTTTATTTAAGATTTAATACTCATTTTTATCATCATTATTATTTTTACTGTGTTTATTGGCGTTGTTGTTGATCATCTTTATTATTATCATTATCATTATGAATTTATAATATCAGCCCGCCCCTGGCCCTACTCACCCCCAATAACTTCATAATTGAAGCCTTCAAGTTTTCTTGATATTCTAGTTAATTTTTTTTGGCCACGATACCAGCAAAAATTAGGTAGTTCAATTCTGACAGTTTGGAGGGGGGCATGAAACAGGCCGGGGGAGGGGGGTGGAATTGGGGAGGGGGGAGGTTGGAGTTTAGAGGAGAGTAAGATGTTTAAATTGGCGAATATTGTAGGATGACACCAATATAATCTTTAGGGTCAAATGAACCTATTTTTATTGAAGAATCAATTTTATAAGGCTATTGATATATGAGCAATGCTAGGGGTACAACAAAGGTGTATCTCATTTGTCCCCCACTCCTTTCTCCACCATTCAATTTTATTCTATTTTTATTTATTTAATTTTTTTAGTTTCTTGCCTTTTGTTTTGTGGTGGAGGGGGTGAGGAACAAATGCATTTTTCTTGATACACACACACCAAATATTACTTGTTACACTCCACCTTTTATATATTAGGTGGATATTGACCAAGTTACCCCTTCTTTCACAATATCTTTAACTAATAAATTTTATTTTATTCCAATATATTTATAAACTAACATTCTTTAATGAACAACATATATGTTTCTTTTTTTAATTGAAATTCATAGAAATATAATTTGGAGAGCTTAAAACTCTCGTCACTAAACTACAATTTTGCATATGTGAAGAATATTATATTACGACATTTTACTACTCAACTACTTTCTTTCCAAAATTAAAAGTCACAGTTTGACCTTACATATATTAAGAGAGTGTTAAAAATGACATTGACTTATCCTTTTATCTTTGGTATAAAGATGTTTGAAATAGGAGAAATTGTTTAATGTAATTGAAAAAAGTATTCTGATAGTTGTTTGTTGAATAAATTTAAAAAATATGTATTTGTGGACTGTGGCAAATTAATACCTCGTTACAAAAAGTATTTGTGGCAAAATTTGATGTAAGAAATGTATTTGTGGCAAAATATGATGCCACAAAAAGTCAATTTTTGTAGGTGTAATTTCTAGAATATTTCAATACAATAGTTGGTTATTGAATAAATTTTAAAAGAAAGCATTGACATTTTTAACACATAAAAAAGTGATGAATTTAGTTTTTAAAATTATAAATAGTGAGTTGCTAGGATAGTCGTTATTTCTAATGGTTAATCCTTGACTAAATATTTAAAATAAAATATCATAGTTTAATTACTCTTTATAAAGTTTGTGTTATAATTTTATAAGCACGTATAAGGAAAATAACATTATTTCTAAAATGAGATATTACTTTATAATTTTATAACACTCTGTATAGTTTTAGTGCAAGGTTCCCATGACATTGCCCAGCAATGTCATGGGATGATCCGGGGGCGCTCCGGTGCCTTGTTCGTAAAATTGACGGTTCCTACTATACCACCCTAACCTTCTAGTAAACCCCCCCACCCACCTCGACCCGAACACACTCCCCACCCTCTTGAATTGCACCGCACAAGTTAATTTTGACTTTGGAGTCAAAATTTGACTCCAAAGTCAAAATCAACTTGTGGGGTGCAATTGAAGGGGGTGAGGGGTGTGTTCGGGTCGGGGCGGGGTAGGAGGGTTTTACCGGGGGGTAAGGGGGATAGGAACCGTCAATTTTACGAACGGGGCACCGGAGCGCCCCCGGGTCATCCCATAACATTGCCGGGTAATGTCATAGGAACCTTAGTGATAGTTTTATTATACTTGATACGGTGAGGTTCTAGTGACACTGGAGTACGGTGTCACTAGCGGTGCCACTGTCATTTTGGGGCACCTCCGGTGCCCCATTCGCAAAATTGACGATTCCTACCCCCTTAACCCACCCCTAAGCCCCCCACCACGGAGCACCGGAGGTGCCCCAAATTGTCAGTGGCACCGTACTCCGATGTTACTAGAACCCCACCATACTTGATAAAGTGCACATTATTTACTCCACATTAAGTATAATAAAATACGTAATAATAAAATAAAATATTATTATAATTTATAAAAGAAATGCCATAATTTTGTTGTATATAGTTTAATGAGATCAGAAATTAGAATACGGATCTCAATAGGGTGCTCAATATGTTAAAATAAATTCAATTAAACGAGTTATGAAAGAAAGGGCAACATGGTCAATATTGACAAGAAATATTAAATGTGGAGTGTAACTAGTAAAATTTGGAGTGTATATATCAATAGCCATTTTATAATTGGTTCTATAAAATTGGGGATTTTCTATATTTATTATCTTTCATAGCCAAATCTAGAAGAGATTGTTGCTGATGTCTCGTTTGTCAGTTGAGTCGTCGCCCACTACAACTCTAGTCAATAAGGTCGGAATCTAATCCCATAGCCATGACATTTTTGTTATGATTTTTGTCAAGGTGGCACTAGATTACATTGTCGGGCCTAAGGGCTAATTATAGAATTTACAAATTATTGAGTTCTGGGTCCAAACCAATTCTAGTCCGATCTTGGCCTAGTGCTCGGCCTAATTGTGAGAACGTAATGTGAAAATTTACCTTATACCTAACCATTGGCCGTAATTGAATTTTGAATTGTAATAATAACATTTTTGGACAAGCACTTTAATAGTTTAATGTTCAGTGTTTTAAAGTCGCATAATGTTGGGATTCCACCAAGTCCCACACCGGAAGTTTAAGAGTAAATGAACCAAAATATATAGGTTCACCCAATCCCATTAGTATGAGGCCTTCCAAAAACAAATCTATGAGGGCTTGGCCCAGAGCGGACAATATCATACTAATGCGGGGTTGGGGTGAGGACACGCGCAATCCCAACATGTGGTATTAGAGCCCAGGTTCTTGGGGCATGAGCAGCGGATCTTGGTGTAACAACATGACCAAGACAAAGAAAGGGGATCCGCAGGTGGTGCCTTGTGTCGAAAGTCTTCCCGACGAGAGAAGGTCAGGCGGCGCGTCCCGTGAAGTTATAGCCATGGCGGTACAAGATGATTTGGCGGGTCAAATGGTGTAGCCCAGCGAAGGAAAGATCTGTTATTCGAGCCTTGCGTCAAAAGTCTTCCCGACAGGAGGTCGGGCGGCGTGTCCCGCAAAGAGTGTGCGGCGGTGCAAGATGGTTAGCAGATAAAAAATGGATTACCGCTGGTTAGCAGAGCGGACAATATCATACTAATGCGGGGTTGGGGTGAGGACACGCGCAATCCCAACATGTGGTATTAGAGCCCAGGTTCTTGGGGGCATGAGCAGCGGATCTTGGTGTAACAACATGACCAAGACAAAGAAAGGGGATCCGCAGGTGGTGCCTTGTGTCGAAAGTCTTCCCGACGAGAGAAGGTCAGGCGGCGCGTCCCATGAAGTTATAGCCATGGCGGTACAAGATGATTTGGCGGGTCAAATGGTGTAGCCCAGCGAAGGAAAGATCTCTGATTCGAGCCTTGCGTCAAAAGTCTTCCCGACAGGAGGTCGGGCGGCGTGTCCCACAAAGAGTGTGCGGCGGTGCAATATGGTTAGCAGATAAAAAATGGATTACCGCTGGAGGGGAGGTCAGAAGTTGTGTGGTCCTTGATTGAGGGGAGGTTTTTTGGGATTCCACCAAGTCCCACACCGGAAGTTTAGGAGTAAATGAACCAAAATATATAGGTTCACCCAACCCCATTAGTATGAGGCCTTCCAAAAACAAATTCATGAGGGCTTGGCCCAGAGTGGACAATATCATACTAATGTGGGGTTGGGGTGTGGGTGTCAAGGAACCGATTCAACCAAAAGCTCAAGCTTGTGGCTGTGGCCCAAGAATGATTGTTATATACTCTAACACGCCCCCTCATTTTGGAGGTGTGATTATGTGTTGGGATTGCGCGTGCCCGCTGTCAAGGAACCAATTCAACCAAAAGATTCCTATGCCACAACCACAAGCTTGAGCTTTTTGTTGAATCGGTTCCTTGACATGGTATCAGAGCCTTGATGACCAAGAGGTCACGAGTTCGAAACTCACCGCCACCTAGTTTAAATAAAAATTAAGATTTCACGTGCAAGGCTCAAAAGAGGTCACACCTGCACGTGAGGGGGCGTGTTAGAGTATATAACAATCATTCCTAGGCCACAACCACAAGCTTGAGCTTTTGGTTGAATTGGTTCCTTGACAGCGGGCACGCCCAATCCCAACACATAATCACACCTCCAAAATGAGAATATAATGGTGGAAATTAATATTAGATATTCGAATTATAAAATGATTTTAATTACCAACAATATCAGTTTCGTTATACAGTGGTATTTGTAATTCTTTTGATGGTAATATTCTTATAATAGTGAGGTTCTATAATAGATTGAGTCTAAATTATGTCAGGATCTCTTCCTATATATATACACACATGTATACTCTCTATTCTTATTTGAGTAAAATCCATATTATATTATTCAACATGGTATCAGAGCCCGATCCTCTTATTGTTCAGCTCTCCTAACCTCGAAAGAAAAAAAATCAGGGACCCTACAGATCCAATGGATCATCTTCCTATTTGTCTCACGCTCTTTGTGTGGAATTTACAATCTCTTACTCTTGTTAAACTTGACGAATGTAATTATCTACAAACTTCGTTGCTCCTTGTCTTTTTGGATATGTTGACGGAACCGAGGCTCCACCTCCCTCTCTTATTCTTGATGGTAGAGCTCATGCGCCTACCAAGGATGAACCTCCTATCATGATGTCCAACCCTGCATATAATCCTGGGTGCTATTTGATTACCAAATTCACGCTTGCCTATTGGCGATTATGTCTCTAGGTATTCAGACACATATTCATCTCCATCCTAAACCAATGGCCGTATTGGCTCATCTCTAAAAAAAGTAAAATTGTCTATCATGACACATATTTTTCAACTAAAGGATTGTCTCCATAGCCTCCGCAAGGGTAATGAGTCTATGTTGAACTATCTTGACACGACTCTTGATATTTTTACCTCTTTAAATCTGATTCATGAAGTTATGCCTAAACACAATATTATTCTATGTGTTTTGAGGGTTCTTCCTTCTGAATATGCATATTTGAAATAGAATGTTCGTAAAAATATTTGGGAGTTGACTTTCAAGCAGGTTTCTTCTTGGCTATTGTGTAAGGAATTAAACGTTAGGATCGAACCAAAACTCTAGATTGGTGATCCCACTACCTTGTCGGGCGTGCACACTGCATTATTTACCGATTCTAGCTAAGGTCGTGGCAATAATTATCACAACCATGGGACTGGTATGCACAGTCAAGGTGGCGGCTTCCGTGGTTGTGGTGGTCAGTCGCTGAATGCTGGCAGACGACAGCAGTCAGCCGTTTGTACCTCCGAGACCGATTATGGCCATGAAGGGGTTCACGTGAGCAGCGAACTCTTGTGTGTCAACTCTCTGGAAAGCATAGCCGATCATGCTTTCTGACACCGTTGGCACCGTTACGATGAATCCTACTCCCGCCCTTTCCGAGGCATACTATTCACAACACTCTACTAAATCAAGTCAAAAATGGCACTTGGATATTGGACCAAATGCTCGTGTGACTTATGATCTCTTGAGGCTATAAAATCTCTCACCATATTAAGGCGCGATTTCTATCACCACTACTGGAGGTAATACCTTTCCCATCTCAGGTAATATATCCACAATCACTGGCAATTTTCTCCTAAATACCATCCTTAATGCATATTCCCTCCAATATCATCTTTACTCTATTCACCAATTTACCAAAGATAATAACTTCAATCTTCTTTTTACTTTCAACGACTTAACGATTTGGAACAGCACCACCGACTAAGTGCTTTTCTGAGGTCCATGTGAGTGTTGATTGTACTTCTCCTCACCTTTCACTCCTCCAGTGATGATGAGTGTTGTCAAGGCAACTTCTTACCAGTGGCACTATCGTCTTAGCCATCATCACCTCAAGTTACTAAGTCTTTACTGTCTGAGTTAGGTTTCAAGTATTTAGAACTTGATCATTGTAATTCTTGTTCTGTTGTTACGTCTCATAAAATTCATTTTTCTTTATCACAAAATACTACTACTGCTCCTTTCAATTACTGCACTCTAATGTATGGGAACTTATCTTTGTGCCCTCTTTTGGTGGGGGGGGGGGATAACATTTTTACATTAATTTTATTTATGATTTTACCAAACTCTGTTGGTTGTACCCTCTCAAACACAAGTCTGAAGCATATGATGCATTTTAAAGTTTCCAATCTATGTTCTAAAAAGTTTGGTTGGTTTTTACAACGGTTAGGGGTTCTTCACCAAAGATAATGTCCCTATACTCCTGAACATGATAGGTTTGCAGAATGAAAAAATAGACATCTTATTGAGACCTTTGTTACTCTTCTCGGCACTACATTGCTAATTTTTTTTGTTGAAGCCTTTGCTACAACAAATTTTCGGATTAATCGTATGCCCAAAAGTATCCCTTAACTCTATGACTCCATACAAAGCTCTTTATGGCACTCATCAAAATTATACTATTCTTTAGATTTTTGTTATCTCTCTAATTTGTGTCTTTGTCATGAAATCGACAACAAATTTCAACCCCGGTCTCGGCAATGTATTTTTCTTGGATATGACTCTCTTTCCAAAGGATATCGTTGCTATGACCCATCCACTCATCACATGCATATCTCTCCACATGTGGAGTTTCAAGAAATCAATTCCCTTACTCCTCTCTTACCGTGTCTGAGTCACATATCTTTATTTCCCCTCCATTTTTCTTTTTCTGTGTGTTGCCTCTTTTCCTGGTCAATTTGTCTAAAGAATACTCTCTCGCTCATAAGGATCCCTTACCTAACTTAATACATAGAGTACCACCTACCCACCCCTAGACCGTAGCCCAAAACCTGTTAGAATAATAGACCAACACTAGAGGGGGGGGGGGTGAATAGCGTTTGATCGTAGAAATCGTAGGAATTAAAAAAAAATTCAAAAGAGATGTAAAGAGAAGAGTAAGAGGCACACCAAATTTACCCTGGTTCACCACAACTTGTGGCTAATCCAGCCTTTCGAGAGACTCTCTCGAGCTACACTACTATCTCGTTAAGCTTAACGGTGCTTAACAAACCCTTACAACTTGAGAGTTCGAGTCACACGAACCTCAACGAATCCTTCAAAGGAAACAGCCCTTCCTTTGAATCAACCGAGAGAGATACTTTCTCTCAACGTGTCTAGCAACACCAATACACTCAAGAACGAGACTCTCTTATAGAGTAGATGATGAGTAAACTAAGTACGCTCAAGAACTCAACCTTCACACAAAATGGCTCTAAAAAGCTATGGAAAAGAGTGTTGTTTGAATGCAATGAAAGTATGAATATTGTGAAGTGAATTAGTTAGAAAAGCAGACCCAAACACCCCTTTTTATAGTACCAAAATAGGCTCCAACGGACCAATACATTAAAGGGGTGATTGGCTTGATTTATGGGATTGAATAAATTTGGGATCTGCAGGATATTGGCTTCCCAGCAATGTATGGACCTTACCCATCGCTGGTAGGCCAATTTTCCTTCAATTTTGAAGCCAACGGTCACCTACCCATCGATGGGTACATGCTTCCCATCGCTGGGTGGGAGGTTGACTTCCAAACATGGAAAGAATCAACCTTAAATGACTTACAACGGTCATGCCTTCCCATCGATGGTTAAGCCTTCCCATCGCTGGGTTCCCATCGATGGGTAATGCTTCCCATCGCTGGGTAAGGGCATTCTGCCTTGTGATAATGTTGGACCAAGGCTTTAACAGCGATGGGTAGAACCTCCCATCGCTGTTTGACATGGTTCTAGAAGTTGGTTTGGCTAAGGGGCCGCTTACCCATCGATGGGATGTTCTTCCCATCGCTGGGTGGGTGGTTAGCCAAAAACCTATGGTTTTTGCCTAAACCACGACCTAGCCAACCGATGCAAAAACCAACCGAATAATCCAAAGTTCTCCAAAATAAAAACCAAGTGTTTGAAAAACTTATTTGATGTATTTGGCTAAGAAATCAAGTGAGTTACTTTAAAAACCACGTCATTCGAGTAAGAACCACGGCTAGCCAAGTTTACGCCGTTTTCCGTGGTTTTTGTCAAACGACTAAAAACGAAAGATGGTTTTCAAAGTGTTTTTGTTGGAGAACCGTTTAAACATGCCAAAGAGTGAAAGCAGATCATAAAATGCTGAAAACCACTTGGTTTGTTCGGATGCCAAACACCAAAGCCGATAACCGAAAGCCGAACGCTGGTTTCTGAAAGCCGAACACTGGATGGCTTGGTTTTTGGTTTGGGCGAACACCAAGTGTTTTTAATGACTTAAAAAGGTTTGAAAAGCATTTTTATGATGTAAGAAATGCAATGAGAGATTTTAGCCTAAGGAGCCAAGGTGTAAAGATTGGGTCGGTCTTGATCACAATAAAGACCGACTCAATGCTATGACTAAGGTCTTCGTTCTTGGTCTCCGTTTAGCTCTTACTCTTATCTTCGTTCTTCGCCTTGTATATTCAATGTTCGACTTGATCACGGCGGTTTGGCATTATCAAAACCTATTACAAAAACGAACACGGCTTTAGTACGAAAACGTGACAAGCCCGTGTTTCAACAATTTCCCCCTTTTTGATAATGGCAAACGAGACGAGGTTATGCATAGGAGGATTGTTTTAAAAAAATGTTCCCCCTTAATAGATTCCATTTTACAAAGTAAAAAAAATTCCCCTTCAATTTATGCATAACCTTAATATCTTCCCCCTTTTGACATTAACAAAAAGAATTAAAAGTAAACTTTAGAATTTTAAAAGTAAACTTTTATTAAAAAAGGGAAATGCGGAATACAACGGAATGGAAATAAAAATACAATCATAGTAAGAAGAGAAAAGAATAGTCTAAGCATCGGCATCCTCGTCGTCCTCGACGTCCATGGGATCGCCGTCGACCGCATCTTCAAAGTCGGCTTCGTCGGGGGAGGAGGACGGAGCATAGGAGTTATCCTCCTCGTCCTCGCCTTCATAGTTTTGACCAAGGAAGGTGGTGTCAAAGGGCGGCAGGACGTAGTTGATGCCGCGGAAGAACGCCGTCATGTCATGGTGTTGGCGTTGCAATGTCCAGTCCATCTGCTCAATTGACTGCCCCATGCCATCCACTATGAGGGTTAGCCGATTCAGAGTATCGGCTATGGATTGCAAAGAGGCCTTCTTCCGGAAGGTGCTGTCTTGAATGATCCAAATCTTTGTCATCTTCGTATCCGGACCAGCGATGGAGATGTCGGCGGAGATGATGAGGTCCATGACGAGGAAGGCGTATGGCAAGCTCCGCTCAGTGGCGATGGAGGCACAATCCGCCATGTGGATCATCATGAATTTCACCCAATTGATGGAGGCGCCGTGGATGATGGCATGAATCGCCTTCAAGTCCTCGTTGAAGAGCGAGGTATGGCTGCTGTCCCGGGGGCGGAGAATCCGGGTGATGATGTAGAGGAGGAGGCGCTTGTCCGGTGGGGCCGAGTGAATCGTCGGCGCGCCGCTGTGTCGGATCAAGTTGGTGATCCCAAGCTCACGAATGACGATCGCCTCATTGTTGAGGATCCAATCGTCGCCACCATAAGTCGTGATGTCGTCACTGCGGATGGGCAGCCCTGCGACCCGAGCAAAGGTAGGCAAATCAATCTCTATGTCATAGAGATTGATGCTGCTGCGTATGGTGTCCCCGTCACGGCGGAGATTGGAGTAGAAGGCCCGAACGAAGGCGGGATTGAAGCTCGAGCGGCTCTTGGAGACAAATGGCCACAAACCCGACGCTTGGAGTTGGTTTTCGAGGTCGTGGTACCCTTTGTCTTGGGGAAACAACTCTGGGAGCACGCGAGGCGGAGAGATCGGGCGCTTGGCGAAGTGAGTTAGGAAGCGTGTGAGTTCTTCCTCCGACCCGAACTCAAGAAATGAGCCGTCTAGATAGGGAAACGGCTGGGGCGCAGAGGTCATAGCTTCGAGGTTGGTCTTCTTCTTGGAGGCTTTGCTCTTAGATTTTCCTCCGGCAATAGCAGCGTTTATGAAGAAGAAGGAATGAAATTTGATTAGGAGATTGAATTTGGGATGTAAATTTGTGAATAGGAATGATAAAACAAGGTGTGTATATATAGGGAAGGGGTGGAAACCGGATTGAGTTCAAAAAATATGACTGTTGGGCATTAAATTCGTTGCCCAACGGTCAAAAAATTTTGAATCGCAGTAGGCTTCCCAGCGATGGGTAGAAGTTCCCATCGATGGGAGGGTCGCCTTTGGAAAGCGAAGGAAGAAACCAAGGCTGCCTTCCCAGCGATGTTTGGATTTTCCCATCGATGGGAAGGTGGCTTCTGGAAATTGACGAAGAAAAGAACATGGCCTTCCTAGCGATGTTAAAACCATCCCATCGCTGGGTTGGTAGTTTTGAAAAATCCGTTAAATTTTTTTTTAAAAAATAGTGTCAAACACCCAGCGATGGGAGAAAGTTCCCATCGATGGGTAGGGAGGTTCTGGAAAAACTTTTTGAAACTAAAAACATTCACCCAGAGATGGGATGAAATACCCATCGATGGGTAATGTGTTTCTGGAAATCCGTTAAAATTTTTTTAAAAAATAGAGTCAATTACACATTGATGGGAAGAAGCACCCATCGATGGGAAGAGGGGTCCTGGTAAGATGAGGACTTCCCTCCCAGCGATGGTATAACGCACCCATCGCTGGTTCCCCCTGATTTCCAGAAATCTTCACCTCGAACCGTCCCTGCAAAAAGAGTTAGAAAACCCTCCGACGCTCAAGTTAGTAAACGTTCAAGCACAGAAAAAGGAGTGATAAAATGCACAAATTAGATCATCGTGGAGTCAAGGATTCCGAGTTCACTACGAATGCGGAAGAATGACTCTTTCTCTAAAGGTTTTGTGAAAATGTCGGCTAATTGGTTGTGTGTGTTAGAATAAAGGCCCAACGCTAGAGGGGGGGGGGGAATAGCGTTTAAAACAAAATCGCAGGAAATTAAAACGAGAGCGTTAAAGTAAAGAGCGTAAAGAAGGAACACACCGGATTTTATCCTGGTTCACCACAACGTGTGGCTAATCCAGCCCCCCGAGAGACTCTCTCGAGCTACACTAACTCTGTTAAACTTAAGGGTGCTTAACAAACCGATACAACTTGAGATACCGCACTCCAAGACTTCTCACGAAGGAACAAGAAACTTCCTTCAAGTTTACAACAAGGGAACAAACTCCCTTAAAGTGTATGAAAACACTTAAACACTCAGGAATGAAACTCTCACAAAGAGTAGATATGAGTGAACTAGTAAACGCTCAAGAACACGACAATTTCCTCAAGAATTGGCTCTCAAATAGCTAAGAAAAATAGGAATGATTATGCAATGAAGGAGTATTGAAATGTTGAAGAATTGTGTGTTAAAAGAGAGAATTTGGGTGCCCTTTTATAGCCCAAAATGGGATAAACCCGTTGCTAGAGTTTCCAACAGGATGAAGACAAATTTTTCAGGGACACAGGCTGATAGTCGATTGTCAAACCATGATAATCGATTATCCAAAGATTCCCTGTCCAAAAATTTAAAATTCTATCCGTTGGAGGACAACGGTAACCCAGATAATCGATTGTCAACAAGTGATAATCGATTATTGGTCCTCTCTGAAGATNTGCTTCAGAACTTGGAAGTTCAAAGCTGCAGTGGCTGATAGTCGATTGTCACTAAGGTGATAATCGATTATCACCCAGCTAAAGTCTAGCCAGCTGAAACCCGTTTTGAAAAACCGAGGTCCAAAAACGAAGCGTTCCCAAAAGTAAAAACCAAGTTTGAAAAACATTGTATATGGTATAAAATAGTGAAAACAAGACTTTTTTGGTAAAAACCAAGTCCTCAAGGTCGTAAATCACGTGCGTACGGTTTTGACCGTTTTTCACGTGTTAGACCGATTGACCAAGATACAAAGATGGTTTTTACAAAATAATTATTCGGGAACCTTTAAAATATGCTCAGAGATAAAAACAGGGTTTAAAATATTGAAAACCACGGAGTTGGTTCGGGCCCCAAAAAACCGAACGCCGAAAACCGAACGACGAAAGCCGAACGCCGACTTAGGTGGTTTTGGTTCTGAGCAAGGACCAGGGATTTTAATAATAAAAGAAGTCATCAAAAAATGTCTGTTTTGATGCACAAAAAAGGTTTTATGGTTTGTAAAAATTGTTTTGACTTTTTGAGAACCGAGACTTGAATAAATTGTCGGTTTTGTTCACAAAAGACCGACTCGACTAAGTCTTCAATTCTTGATCTTGTCCTTGAGTCTTTTAGGTCTTGTTCCAAGCCATTCTTCACGCCTTGAGTTATTCAACGAAACTCTTCATATCCACGGCGGTTTGGCAATTATCAAAACCTGTCACAAATGAACACGACTTCAGTTTAACGTGCAAAGCGTGTTCCAACAATTTCCCCCTTTTTGATAATGGCAAACAAGACGGGGATATGCATAGGGTTTTGATCTTTTTGAAACAAAATTCCCCCTTAATAAAACTCCCCCTGAAAATATGCATAGCCCTTATCTTCCCCCTTTTGACATTAACAAAAAGATTGTTAACAACAAAAATCATAAAGATTTTTATTAATTAATTAAGGGAAAAGGCGGAGTACATAGCGAAAGCATTAAAAATTATAAAATAAGGAAGAGAAGAAAGTAGAGCTAGAGCTCTAGAAATCCGGGGAAAGATCATTGA